ATGAGTATAAGAACTTGAAGTTGTTCTACGCTACTCTTTTTATGTTTCATACTATACTACTTTATATATTACTCCACCGCATAAATTATGTGCGGGTGAAATTGAGTTGTTTCATTTATAAACCTTTCATTAATGGAATTATTTTTAAATTCAAAAAATAAAATGATATTATTAATTTCTATATTGATGTAAAAAAAAATGTCTCGTGGGCGAATCCTTAAAGCAACTTGATTTATTTGTCTAAAATTGTCTCTCAAATGAAACATGGAAATGGTTGCATTTTCACGACGTAGAGAATTCCTATGAGGATTTATTTCAGGCAAAGATAATAGATCATTGAACTTAGAAAAGTTTACTGTCATGACAACTATACTTTCATTCAATAAATTTATATATGTTCCCGCAAAGTTTGTAATATAGTCATCCTGTTCTAATATTTGTCTTAAAATATTATCTAGTTCGATCAAATTCCTCTCTAGTTCCAATAATCTGGGTACATCACCATCATTTACTTTCCATAGTTTCGCCAAAGGATGTTGCTGACCATTGGTCAAATAACTTTGTAATGATAATAATAAAATTATAAAAAAGCAAATATCTTTCATTACAGCTTTAATAATATACTGAGTACTGACAAGTGTGGATGTTTATATGATAGCAATACTTAATGCAAAGTAAGATTTTATAAACCATATTCTTTAGCGTCATCATTTCGTTTTTTATACAATCAACCATCGATACAAATAAGAAGTGCACATCAATTTAGAATGAGTTATTTTCTGGTAATTTGTCCTGATTTAGGGCATATAAAAAAGCTTGTTTATCACTAGTAAATTTTAATCTTTGTATATATTTTGCAGTGGCGATTAGAGTTAAAATCGGATTTATATTTATACCGAATATAATTAAATTCCGATATATATTTTTATATCCAGATATATATAACTGTATCAATGTTATTACTTGGCCATTTGACTGGCCATTGGCCGAATTGGGCAAAGAAAATTATTTAGTCGAAATGACCAAATATTCATATAGAAAAGCTAGCAATATGAAATGTTATATAAGTTAGGAACTTTTGGCTGAAGGCTGGATTCTGGTCATTGGCCATTGCCTATTTTGGCTGGCCAAAGGCAAAAAAAATTAGTTGAGTTAGAATTATTCCTGATAATTTTAAATCAAAAATCGCCAAGAATGGGATGATTTATCGTTACGTGTTATCGTTATCAATATGAAATTAGAAAAGGCATGGTTCAAAATTGATAGAAATATTGTTTTTGTCAAAATGATCTACAATATAACTTCATTGAGCCTGTTATCAATTTTTTAGGCCGGAAAAACCGAAAGGAGGAATATGCTAAACAATTTATTTTTTCTAACATATATAAAATATGTTTAAAGCTGTTTTCATAGTTTCTGAAACACTTGATAAAAAATCTGCCGAATGATTTTTCAGATGTTTCGGTTAAGTTTTATTTCGGCATAATAGATTCAATAAAATTACAAATTATACGTACGTATGTACGTACATAACAGATAACTTTTACATTAATTAATGCAGTGGAGTAATATATAAAGTAGTATAGTATGAAACATAAAAAGAGTAGCGTAGAACAACTTCAAGTTCTTATACTCAT